CACAATACAAAATAGTCAACTAAACATGAGATTATAGTCCTTAATGGGAGCAACATTGGAGCGGTGGCTACCTTACATCATGCACAGGGACCATGGGGAACAAGAGTAGCCACCCTCCAGAAGGAAGGACAGTGTCAGCACCAATTCAGAGATAATTTGAGGATCTATAGCCGAGTGATACACAAATAAGATACATTTTTGTTAATAGTTAAGGTACTGGAATGTATTTTAAGGTTTAAAAGGAGAACTATGAGGTGAGTGAAAATCACTCATCCTCATAGTTCGAGCCGACGTGTGTCAATGAAACTGTCACAGGTCGGCTCAATAGATCGGGAAGTGAGCAAACACATACCGTCGCTCGCTTCTCGATAATCTCCCTGCAGAGAGCGGTGACCGTCAGTCACGGCTCCCTGCAGGGATTCTCCCCCCCCTCCCTGCTCCGATCCTCCAGCGCTGACTGGCGGAACGGACGGCGGAGGGGGCGGGTGCAGCTGGCTCTGCCTCTAGATAGGCAGAGCCAGATGTCATTTACGCAGCTGGGTGGATTTCAACAGTAATGTCAGGATCCATCCCGGCTGCAGCGGTCTCAGTATACCGCGAGCTGTAGCTCGCGGTATACCGAGCTTTGGGTCACGGGAAGGCGCTAGTAATATGTCCTCCCGTGACCCTTAAGGGAACTATGGGGAAAAACACTTACCCCATAGTTCTCTTTTTAACGCCCGAGTTCAGTGTCACTTTAACAGTGCTGCTAGAACACAGATACTGTATACTGCAAAGCTTGTGGTATTGGTGACCAAACTAGGAAAGCACTGAAGCAAACAATTTTACAGCCATTTTCTACCTGAGCTGTTATGTACAAATAAAGGCGAGATGAAAATCACCTTTATCAGGCTGTATCAGCTGACGATCCTATAGGGTGCACCCCTAGGCACCATCTACTGAGGATCAATGGTTGGCGAACAGCAAACATGTTAGAGAACCTTATAAAGATGTGTGAAAACACAGGCGCCAAAACACAGTAACTGCTCCTAAAAATGGTCTTCCAAAAATATATACAGGGGGGCAGCTCCTCACAGTCAAAGGGAAACCGAAAATCTGATGAGGACAAAGCAAAAGGAGCTCCTCCATAGTGTAAATTTGATTTATTAAGGATAAAACACACAGCTGAAAAGGTACTTACAAACCAGCTTGTATAAACGAGCAGAAAGCAATATAATCTTAGGAGACCATCAAGATGAATACATGAAAATGGGGCAAGGAAAAGGAAGTGCTGGTACTATCAGGTTCTGAAGAAAGAGGTTTGTCCTCAGAAACGCGTCAACTGAAGGAGGGTCAGCGTGCAGATGGCTTCGGCTTACTACCAGCACTTCCTTTCCCTCACTCCATTTTCGTGTATTCATCTTGATGGTCTAAGATTATATCGCTTTCTGCTCGTTTACACAAGCTGGTTTGTAAGTACTTTTCAGCTGTGTGTTTTATCCTTAATAAATCAATTTTACACTATGGAGGCGCTCCATTTGCTTTGTCCTCATGTTAGAGAACCTTGCCTGATTATTACTTTTCCCCCTATATTTGTCACTACAGGTGACTGCAGTGCTACCTTTGTCCTGCTCCACAGGGCTAAACACAGATGGTTGGCAATTAAAACCTTCATATTAAAAGGATGCATTCGCCAGCAGATGGGAGGTCGCATAATGCACGCACATCCATCCACTATCTGCTCTGTGGACATGCACGTCTTTACATATTCTTAAAAAGCAGAAAATTAGCTTTAAAATCCACCTTTGCTGACTTCTGCAGGAGGTACTGAGGAGCAATTCCTTGGGCTTCACAGCAAAAGCACCAAAGTAGTTATTTCTCAGCAGCTCAGCTCCCCTACCCAGACCACCTATTTTGTGTTTGCGATAGAGCACAGAAGGGTCTCATGCTGCCAAGTCACTGCTGGAAGGGAAAAGCAGGGAGAGCTGAACTGCGAAGAGAATGGCTTTCATGCTTCTGCTGTAAATGTTTAGGATCGTAGGTTCCCTTACGCATTTGATACTGACCTCGCCATTGCTCCATAGCCACCACCAAAATACCTGGTGTCAGATCTGAGTAGGCGGTGACGTCTGCCCCTTTTTCATGCGACAGTGCTAGGGCCTAGGGACGGAGCCCGAGTACTGCCTCATGGGAGGCAGTCAATTGCCTGGAAGCACTGGGCATTTTGCAGTTCCACCACAGAAGAGAGAGTGACAGGGAAGCACTGCAGAGGGGAGAAGATCCCTCTTCAGGTTCTTCTTTTGACCCCTTCTGCTATAGTGTAACATAATGAGCCTAATAACCTATTCTTGTAGGCCACGGCCCAGCTCCTCAACCTTCACTGCCAACCACTGGAGGTTCAAATTAAATTAAGACTTGTTTTTTTTTTTAGCATTCTCCCTTATCTCTCGGGGCACCAATAAAATGTCCCCTACAAATCAAGCTGCTGTCTCAGATCATTGCTTCGCCATTTGTAAAGATGCAACACAATTGGCTGTAACTTGCTGTACAAGTTAGAGTCTCTGAACTGTTCTATACACCAAAACAGCTCAGCTCAGCATGGCAGATGCTATGGAGGAATAGAGCGTCACCGAGTGGTGGTGGAGAATTAGAGAGCTGGTAAAGCAGGGAAGCCGGGACAAGTATGGACACATGCTTAAATTGATCTGTGCCACACTGGGTAATACAGTAAATGGTTTAGACGCCACACTGGGTAATACAGTAAATGGTTTAGACAGGTAACTGAGGCAGATGGAGCCCAAACAACTCTGCAATGACCTCAGAAATATTTAAAACAGATATTTTTATAAATATAATTCCTCCATTTTCTACTACTGTGTCCTTTCCCTTTCTCGTTTCACTTTTTTCATTTTAAGGGTATTTGAAAGTATCCTAAATTGCTGTTCTTGGGAGGAAAATCTGTGCAGGTTTAAGTCCTACTCTAAACTTTTTCAATAACAAGATCAAGCTTCTGTTCTGTAGACTGGAAGCCACATCCAGCTTTTTATAGCAGAGCCATGAACACACTTATCTTCTGATTCTCTGCTCGACCCTTTAAATATCTGGTACTACTGCTAACAAATGAGATCGCAGACATTATAGTGGATCTGTCATTCCTTCTGCCCCCACCCCTTGTACAATGCGTGCTCCTTACAGTCTAGTAAGGATACGCTCAATGCACAGAAGGCCGATGGTAGACAGAAGCTGAATTGAAGCCTTGCTAGCTGTCTAAAAGCAATCTCACAGGAGGCATTGAAGAGGCATTTTTGGGGGCAAAGGATGCATTAATAGGCATCCTGTTGTAACTGCTTTAAGCCAGCACTTTCAGATAGTTATACCAGATGGTAGGTTCACCTAAAAGGACTATGACACGTAGGTACCTTTATCTTGGAATTGGACTTGCAAGTTTAATGTATCTTGCAATGCACCCAAGTGCAGCAATCCAACTGATAGGCTTTTGTCTGACCAGTGTGATTTCATTTTATCTCCGAGGGTATACTCTGTATAATCAGGCCAGGCGGCAGATATAAGTACGGAACCTTTGATATCCGATCTAAATTTGTGAGCAGGGCTGGTACTAACAAGGACTGAGCTGAACAGGAAATGTTCACTAGAAAACCATAGCGCTCATACTGGAAACAGATCACCTAAAGAATTACGTTAGCCAACCCATATAACATTGTGATATACTATAGATTTACAGCAAACCATTTATAAAAAACACCCTAAAGAGGTGAGAACATGAGATGCCTGTTATTTCTTTTGTTAGACAGAAAAACCAGAAAAAAAAGTGAAGAAAATCTGGCTGGCACATTTACTGTATCACACAACCAGGATTCAGTATAGCAATGTTTTCATGGAGAAAAGTAGAAGAGGACACTGCCCTTGTTATGTCGACAAAAGGTTCCAAGTGTTGTGGGAAAATTTCTATTGAGGGGGGAAAAAACTGTTCTATACCATTTCAGAATCACCTCCCGCTGCTGTGCTCATCACCTAAACCTGAAGACTACAGTATTACTTACTAAAACCACTAAAAGGTGATAGGTCTTTCTTTTGAAGTGGGCCTGGCCTGACAAAACGCAGCGCAAGCAAAGTGCACTGTAGCAGCAGCAGATGAGTTCAGAGGGGAAGAGAGTGCAGTGCACATGCGCAGTGAGTGACCGGCAGCTACTGCTGGAGGGGAGAGAGCACATGGTGCGAGTGCAATGTTTGAATGAGTTGGGGACTTGTGTTGGGGGGAGTGTAGGTGCCTCCTGCAGTGTATACGGATAGAAGGGGGTCACCTGGCAAGGAGTTTTGTAGTCAGGCCACACACAGTCCTAAGGCATGACTTGACAAAGGAGCATTTTGTCATTTTTGTTTAAAGCTAAATGGTGATTTCTATCACAGAGCATGCTGGATATAAACCCTTTAACGCCAGGCACATATTTAAGACACTAGTTAATGCAGCCAGGTATCCATTAATATAGGCTTGAAAATGTTTTTTAAATGCAACTATTGTACCTGAATTTGTTTTGGTATAAGCCACTTGCAGCACCCTATGCAATATTGCTTAGACTGGGAAAGGGCGAGGCAGGTTGGCAGCATGCAAAACATGCAGAAAAGAAGAGAGCAGAGGGATGACATTATTCTGCTTCTGCTTTTTCACTATCCATTCATTCAAGCTTGGGGTGGGGACAGGACACCAATGCATTCCTTAACTGTAAGTGGTATAAGCCACCTGGTTTTTGCTGTGTAAACCTCTGGAATAGATGGTCAGATATACAAATGTTTTGGCTCATTTATATGTACTTTATCTGTTTATTTAGCCATTTGTCTGGAGTTCACCTTAAAAACTCAGCACCTAGCAGTGTTTGTACAGGAGTGCTCAGGTGTGATTATGGCCCGTAGCCTGTTCCCCATATCCTAATCTCACACATTCAGCATCCCCCTTCACCAGCAGATCAATTGACAACCAGAGGTGATGAACACAAACAACTTACCTCTGACAGAAATGTCTGAGCTGACTTCTGTGCTCCCACGTGTAGAAGGTATTCGTATACATATAGCGCTAATCTGCCAAAGAGAAAAAATGATTTGTTACCAAGGTGCTGAAGTACACGGTAATATTACATTTAAAAAGTGCCATTAGTTCTCCACACCATAAGTGTTAGACGCGGCTGACCCCGGGATGGTACCAAGAGTATATAGTACATGGAAACGGAGCAAATATTAGCCACATTACAAGCGTTCAGAAGATTTACACAATTCCCTCAGCGGATTAGCTGAACATTTTCATACTGACATAAATTTGACCACCAACATTCCAGAAACAAATCCAGAAGCCAAAAAGTTCCTTTCTGGATATGGTTATATGCTTGGTAGTTGTATGATGTAAGAATCTGTTCTAAATAGAATGCAATATTTCGTATTATGTAACCAAGTTAGATGCAGAACAATAACAGGAAGGATCTGGGATATTGGAAAGAAAAAAAATATGTTTTGTTGAAATGTCACACATAGTATGCGTCGGAGTCATCTCTGCTGTAATTCTTTCTATTGGCTGGGTTATCTGTCATTTATGTCTCTTTTACTGAATCTTAGGGCCCATCCACACCAGTGCGGTGCGTTTATCACATAGTTCCATGTGACTAATGCATGCTAACGTTTGTTACAGTGCAGGAGGTGCGTGGCATTGCCATTCACTTGAATGGCACCCCAAATGCACCTTGGGCCCGTTTAACCGCACTGGCGTAATGGGCCCATTTAACCGCACTGGCGTAAAATGGGCCCTTATGCCCTAATATGTATACGACGGCTGGGAACGCGACAGACAGGAAATTAATTTTGTGATGGACAGGAAGGTGCAATCAATCCACTTTTCTAACATATTTCCCCCATTTACAAACCGCTCAAATGAACTTTTCCTCTCCGAAATTGGTTTTCTCCCACTCAATCAAGTCTAAAAAACATTATTTTCAGTGGAGGGGGAACCAGTGGCGGGGCATTTTCTAACCTTCATTTTTTGTTTTTGTTTTTTATCTCCCCCCTTTCCAAAAAAAAAAAAAAAATCACTTTTTTCTCTGCTTGCCACATTATATGTTTTTAAGTAGGTTAAACCTGTGACAGCAAGAGAGCAAACTTTCAAGCAGCTGAAGGCATGTCAACTTTCAGTGTGTGTATGTTGTTATAGAAATATTGCTTAGTGTGGTTAAAACAGAACTGAAGGCAAAATGTTTTTGTTAGTTTTGGATAGAATAAGAGAGGGTTATACCCCCTGTCCGTTTGTTTTTTTGCCATCTGTGTCCTATTTGGGAAGTTTCACTTCCTGTCCAATGTTCACAATAGAAAGTGAGAGGAAATCCCTCCAAAAAGAGAGGGAAAAGTTACTTTCATGTTCAGCGATAACAGTGACCAGGACAGATAGAGAGGATGAAGCTCTTTAAAAGGGGGAAACAGACAGTACAATAAAAACCTGACCGGGGTTCTAATCCCTCTCTACTCGATACAAAAAAAAAAAAGTTTTGGCTTCAGTTGCACTTTAAGGCCCCATGCACACGGACGTGTAGAGATGTACATCCATTAAACCTGCACATGGAAGTGACAGTTCCTGTGTGCAGCCACCTGTATAACTCAATGACAGGATGTGGCTGCATGCTGGTAAATGCCAATTTGAACTTGTACAGGTACGGATTACGAATGCACGCCCCTGGATGCAGAGCTTGCATTCAGAGACATGTATACACCCCTGTACAGATGTACATGTTCAGATTGTCATGAACCAGCTCACAGCCGCACCATGTCTTTAAATTGTATGGGCGGCTGCAGGCAACAGCTGTTGCTTCTAGGCGAAGGTTTTTGCATGAGCGTGAGCATTTTACAGCTATGCATGTCCATGATGTGCAAAAAAATGCACAGTGGCTGGAGTGCGTTGCCTGACACCATGCTGATGCGCTGATCCCGGCATTCACACCGGGTTTTTTTTGGTAGAACTTTATTGAAATGTCACAAGCGACAATTCATTCAGTTTTAAAGGCACATCGGGGTTCAAGGAGTTTCCACATCGCATGTCACTGTGCAAAAAAAAAGGGAGGAGAACAGCATGCCCAATTTTTTTTCAGCAAACACCACCGTGTTCCTATCACAACAGTCATATAAACTGGGCCCATCCGTGACAAGACAAATTGCTTTATCTTGCATTGGGCTGCACTGGAAACAATGGCCAGCACAGCCCCAGCACATATGGTGTGTATTGGCCCTTAGAAGCCAAGGCAGCTTTTTTCAGTTTTGAACAGTGTGCAAACATAGTGCTGCTCATCGGTGTATTACCTGCTTGTATCACTTTAAGATTGTAAGCAACCCATGAACAAATCCCTGTGTTGGCAGAAATGACACAAAACAAATCTGAGAGCTGTGTGCAGTATCCCCCAGACTGTCATAATAAAAGAGAACACATCACATACTCTCTCCATTACACTCCCAGATACACATTTACATAATGAATACTACACTACAAAGTAACAATTCTAGATCAGGAAAACTTCACCTTCATCTTTCAAGTTGGCAGCCCACTTCCACTGTATAATGTTGTTGTAACATATTATTATTATTAGATGTATCATAAATCACATTTTATAAAGTGTTACAATATCAATGACATAACCCACCTTTCTCTAAATGTACATTCTGCCAGATGGTTACATAAATATCCACACCAATAATTCTGTCTAAAAACCACAGAGTTCCCTCAGAGGCATAGCTTAAAGTGAACCTGTCAATGATGTTAAACTTTTAAAATTAAACGTCCTGCCTCAGTGCTTGTTCACACCATGTCTGGACCATGTCAAGACCAGAACGGTTTGTTCCCGGACCAAAAAAGCATCCCAATGTATCCCTATAGTAGTTCTGGCCTCTGTTCACACCAGCGCAGTCTGTTCCGGTCCAAACAAAACAAAATACTGCTCGGCTCATTTTCTCAGGTCTGGAATGCATGTAAACACATAAAAACACATGCAAACGCACTGGAACACACCTGAAAGCCGTTTTAAGCGGAAAAAGAAATGTACCGGAATATCGCAAAAATGCACTGCGCTTGCAGATCTGCTCCAGACATGGTGTGAACATAGCCTTAGCGCAGAGAGCACTGATCCTTGCTCACCTCGGCTCCCTCTATGCTGCTGGACCAGTCTCTGCAACTTCTTCCCTCCCCTGGGCTCCAACAGTCTAAGGACCACTGACATCATCAGGTCCATTGACTTGCATTAGTCGTGAGGATGCCAAGTGACAGTCAGCACTCGCCTCCCCCCCACCCCTCCGGCTGTGGAAAATGTTCTTTGGCATCCTCACGTCTAATGCATGTCCACTGTCC